CATGAGTGATGTTCTTTCGACTGCATTATCTGGTTCAGTAAGAAGCAGCGTGTGCAGTATACTTCACAAAACCTGAAGCCCTAAACCCTCCATCCGAGACCCAAAGCCCTACATGAGGTCCCAAATCCCAAAACCTCGAACCTCAAAGTCAAAAGCTGCGAAGCTCTTCTCATCCCTGCGGCTTTTGGTATGTCAGGAGGTCGCCGGTGCCCTCCCAGGTCGGTCCTCCGAATCCCTAGTTGGGTTTGGATGAGAGTGTGCGTCGGGAAAGCATTTGAGGAGCAGAGCGCTTCTAAGGATTCTAAGGAAAGAACCTTAGGATCCCGGAGGATGCCACTTGAGGTACGGCTGCGACTCACGTCAGTAGTTGTAAAGCGATGAAAGCAAAACGCCTAGCTTCCCAAAGCCTTCCGAGCGCCAAATTACGAACCTGTGACACCCCGACCCCAGGAAAACTCACGAGTTCGCCATCCGGGCATCGCAAGTTAGGGATACGGCGGGAATGGTGACAATGATCGTGGAATGTTGGTTGTGATGGTTGCGATGACGACGGTTTTTAAGCTGATTGCGTGTTATAGACCTCCGTCACCCTCCATCTCGAGAGGCGGCGCCGATGAGGCTGGGCCCTTTCCTACACTGAATTTTTTGAGAGGGGGTATCGAATTCGAGTCGGGCTAGGGCCTAGACTGGGCACGGTACAACGAGAGACTTTGGAACCATCCCAGACTTTCTTTTAAATTTGTACTTGCATCATGTGGCATCCGCTGCTGGCGGCAGGGTGACATCGGTGGAGCAGCCTGCAGTCGTCCGCAGTGCAGGCTCCACTGCTTTGGGTTAAGGTAGTGCAGGGACCTCCATAAGTTGGCGACACTGCTAGTACTAGTACTCCATTGTGGTACCCATTCGGTTCTCGGTGTTGGTGCTGGGCTTCTTCGCCAAGTGCCGCTTCCTTGCCCTTGGAAGATGCCGCCACAAGAGATCTCAGGAGTGTGCAGACAACATGTCGGATCCAAATGGATGGAGCAAGTCCAAGACGCTGTAATATCCCCCCTAGTAGTGCATATAACCCTAAACCCTAAACCCTTATTACTTATCCCGCTAATAGTGCATAGAACCCTAAACCCTAAACCCATATATCTTGGACCATCCTGTCACCCAGCTTCTGCCGTTCGCCTCCGGAGTGCACCGGCTGGGATCCCGGTTCGAGGGCACCAGGGGTCGGAAACGAAAGAGGGGTCCAATTGGAATTTGTGCGAACATTTTAGATTTTTTCTTTATCGTTTCATATGACCTGTAGTTGAGTTTTGGGGGGGTCGTATATACCCGTAACGTGGTTGTAGAGGGATGATAGAAGAGTATCAGTCTGCACAGCGGTTGCTGAGACTCCTATACCGAATACTAAAGGAGCGCTGCAGCGTTTAGGCGTTGAGGGTCCGTGCAGCTCCAGAGTTGGCTGTCCCATGGTGCAGAGGGCCACAGGGCAGCAGAAGAGGAGATGTTACCCTCAAATTTCCACATTAAATAAATGTTTCCAGAGCCGCTGAACATGGCTGTGTTTTCATAAAATTTCGAGTTGCGTAAGTTCTTGCCATGCGGGGAGGCGCGAGTGATGCGGAGATTAGTCCCTCTCAACCGATCTGTCATCCTACGCCCGATTCAAGGTCGTGAGCCCAGCTGTGGCGAAGGCGCCAGCTACAAGTGTCCCTCAGCTAGTTTGGAGTCACATAGGATCAAGAATTCACCCAGGCCCCAAACCACAGGGATGCAACCGCAAGTTTAAAATAACCCGATTCCACGACCTAGACACCCGTTCCAACTCAAGCCTAATGATGCCTGAACACGAACTTCTCATGCCGCAACATTTGCGAAAACTTTACACAATTTCCAGTTGAACGAATAGAGAAGCAGGACGAGAGTAAGACCATGACTAATTGACCTGGGATTAGACAACAGGTGGAACGGACAAACATAATTCTTTTCCCCCAAGCTGGTCTGCTCCGTTGGGGAAGCTCAGACATCATTTGTGCACTGCTTTCCATTGACTTCGAGAGTGTGTTACAGTGGTGATGTGGCTATATCGGCTTTGACTTAACTTGTCACAGAGACTTCTTAGTCGGGAGGTGGGATAGTACACTAAGCTGTTAAGTGTAGTTCAGGTCCCTTGAATTCCGAGCCCTCGGTTTGTTCCGGAAACAGTGCTCATATCCGGAGCCCTGTGCAGGAGCCTACTGTGTCAGAGCCATCTCTGGTGACTACGAAACCCTTGGAGGCCTGGGTTGCAGCTTGGGGCTCTGGTTTTCGGGCTTTCCCGGCGGTGTAGAAAAGAGACGAAGCACCGTGATCTCCACTCCATACTTAGTGGACCCGACTGACGCCCCACCTGCGAAAGCCAACTTCAGAGATAAGAAGGCATAAGTCCTAAGCCCGAAACCTTCTCCCTTCAAGTCTTTACTTCACCCTCAATCCCGAAGACGAAGCCCAAACCCATGACGCCCCAAACACTGCCTAGCAGCCTGGCGCGTCAGCGTCTCCCTCAGGCGAGCAAGATCCTTGCGTTGCCAACTCCTTGTCGGCAAGGAGGAGCCGTTATGAATTCATGGGCCGAAGGAATCGAAGAAAGACATTGGGAAAACAACTTCTGATTGTGAGTCGGGCTCGATGTGCTGCACTGACATACGAAGACGGACTCGATGTGCTGCGCCGACATACGAAGATGAGCAAGTAGACAGACGCACAGGAGTAATGCCTTGCATCGCTACTATGGTGTCGACTAGAACCCCTGTTAGTCGGCCTCCTCCAGGACGTGCTCTCAGCAAGGACAAGGCAGGGATGGGTGAGATGAGGGGCCTCTTGGTTGAGCCGGAACAGCCGGGAAGGATGCAGCGCCAACTTATCAAGACTTAAACGGTGTCTGCAGGAGAAGCGGCGATGCTCACGTGCGATCCCTACTTGTAGTTTGATGTCAAACACAGAAGCTCAAGATCCTTTTGAGACACATGAGTGCACTGGTGAACCATGGGGCAGCAGAGGACGCAGAATTGGTGCACGCATGATCGGGCCATCCGTACGTTTACTGAGGCTGTGGTTTCGAGGAGGCCAGCGATACAGGCTGGTGTGAGCGAGACTGCCAAGACGAACATCCAAGCCCGCATACGCCTGATAAAGCGAAACAGCGCCACAGTACAGCCGCTTCGCGAAAGCTCCTGCAGAGCAATGACATGACAATAGATATACTAACAACGATAGCCAGGACCCTCCTTGCACCCTCAATTAAATAGGGGTATATGGTCCCAAGTAACGGGTATTTAGGGTCTAATAGGGGGTATATGGAGGGTCTAGGAGTAGCAAGAAGAATATCCATCATGTTCGTAGTACCCCTACCACCCTTCTTCACTCTTGCTGCTAGGCTGCTGCACGCCGTCGGCCTGAGACCTGTGCAGTGAGAATCTCTGGTCGGAGGCATCGATGGTAGCCCCGGAAGGACTCCAGCCTAAACCCTAAACCCTAAACCCTAACAGCCCAAGATTTCATGCACCCTTTTTTTTTGCGGGGAGCCAGGCTCCTCGTGGAAGCTCAAGGGAACGGCTGGTGTCCGTGCCTGCAGCGCCTGTGCGCTCGAGCTCACTGCATGGCCAGCTGCCCCTTCGGGCTGCGGCAATTCGCGATTTCCATGGCAGGTTCCGTGAGGCTATAGGATCTTTGCCAAGTCCGGATGTGCACCATCTCCGATAGACACATCTCTGGTTCAGACAAACTCCAAGATCGGCTTTGAGATAAAGCGAAGGCTTCCTACGTCAGGCTTTCATATTCCGGCTGGACCTGCCTGTTAATTCACTGATAGGCCCTGCCCTTGAAACCCAGCCGGCTATGGCGCAGTACGATGCGCCATCGAGGGCATGGGCTTCTCGGAGCACAGCTCAAAATTCGGTGCAGGGTGGGGAGGAGTGTTGCTGTTATTTGGTCTGAGTTCAGATTTGTTTGGCCTTTCTTTGTATCATTGCAGCCTTCTTCCCCCCTCCTAATCACGGAGCCCTCAGCAAGTCTCAGGAGGCAATGGTTCTGCATTGCAGTGACTGAGCGAAGCTGACGCCCGAAAAAATGACATGTCGAGGACTCGACTTCGAGGTGAAGGTCTGGTGATAATCAGGATCTGGGCTTCCAGGGTTCACTCTTTCCCCTTGCGGCTTACCCGGGAGTCATGGGGGGCTGCATCCTCAGCCGCTGCTGCTTCAGCGAACGCATGAACAGAATGAGCCATAGATGCCAGAATCGTAGTCCTGCTTTTAGATGCTCCCTCCTTAACAGGCAGAGGCTTAACTTCCGATCTCTGCCCGCTGCCTCTGGAGCCCCCAGTAGTCACTCTCGGCAGAAGACCTTTGCCAAAAGAGCAGAAGCTAAGGGCCTTAGGATAACTGCATCCGTTGCTCTTCGTCCTGATACGGATAACACATAGGGGAGCAGTAAACAAGAGCAGCGGAGGACCGGCAGAGAACAGCTGAGCGAGAAGCACCGCAGGGAAGCATATACAACACGACTCGCTGCCCTCTCTATTTCCAGCAAACCGGACAGCCCACGCCATTCGTTCGCTGCTGAACCGAGCGGCGTAGGCCAGTATGGATAGCGACGCCGTGACCGGGTGCGGGCCTGCCTTGTCTCGGGTAGCCTTCTACATGTATGTTTACATGTACATTGCAGTACCCTATACTTGATTCGACACTTAAACTTGTGTTATATACTGTTATCTGACGCTATAATTAAAAGCCTGCAGAGCCACGGAGACTGGACCGTGAACCTTTCATGTGCCACGGAGATCGCACATGGCGCCAGGTTCTTCTTCGTGGTCCTCGTGCTAGCGCCCGGAGCTCGAAAGGTTGTTTTGCGGTGCCTGCTCTCCTTTGACCAGCTCAAACTTCGTTCTCTTGGGACTTTCCGTTGCTCTTGCCGGCTGACAGTTTGTTGCTTAGCTCCAGGTATTTTCCAGTCCACAGATAGCACTTGCTATGGACACCATGGACGTGATCTCCGCCAGCACAGATCGCGCGGAGTTTGCAAATTCAACAAGCCAGGATTTCCAGGAAGACGAAGCCGAGGGGTTTGCGATGCTCAAGAGACGGCTCTCACGCGAGTCTTTCCGCATAGCAAAGTCAATCAGCCAGGAGTTCCAGGAAGAAGACGAAGACGAAGAAGACAAGGAGTTTGCAATGCTCAAAAAACGCCTCTCACGTGAATCCTTGCGCAGCACGGACGCGGAGAGCGCGGAGTTCGCAGATTCCACGAGCCAGGATTTCCAGGAAGACAAAGAAGTCGGCGAGTTGACGATGCCAAAGAAGCGGCTTTCACGTGAACCCTTGCCCAGCAAGGATGCGCCAGCTCCCAAAAAGGCTAGGGCCGAGGTCGAGGTCAAGCTCAAGGCAACGAGCGAGGACTTGGCACTGGCCATCAGCCAGGATTTGGCAGGACACACCACTCAAGGTGCGCATGGCATGAACTACCACCACAAGAGCCCTGGTGATCAAGGCACTACCTTCTTCATGCCCATGAAGTCGTTGCTCGGTGAAGGTGCTCTTAGTGGTGCTGTACAGCAGATCAAAGCATTGGGGCACAAGAAGGCGTTGATTGTCACGGATGCCATCCTGGTGAAAGTTGGTGCTGTGAAGGCAGCCACGGATGTGCTTACTCAGGCAGGCATCGCCTTCGCCATCTACGATGGCTGCCAGCCGAATCCAACTGTGGGCCAGGTGGAAGACGGTTTGCAGATGGTGAAGAACGAAGAGTGTGACTTCGTCCTTTCATTTGGTGGCGGATCACCACATGATTGTGCGAAAGCCATTGCTATCACAGCCACAAATGGCGGAGACATTCGTGCGATGGAGGGCGTTGACAAAAGCACCAAGCCTATGATGACCATGGTGGCGGTGAACACTACGGCCGGCACTGCTGCTGAGATGACGCGCTTCTGCATCATTACGGATGAGGTGCGGCATGTGAAGATGGCCATAGTGGATTGGCGGATTACGCCTACCTTGGCTGTGAACGATCCAACAACCATGGTGGGTATGCCCAAGTCTTTGACTGCAGCTACTGGAATGGATGCTCTCACTCATGCCATTGAGGCGTACGTGAGCACGATCTCGAACCCAGTGACTGATGCAAGCGCGCTCCATGCCATGAAGCTCATCAGCACTTACCTACCCACCGCAGTTGAGGACGGGACGAATATGAAGGCACGTGACATGATGGCATATGCAGAGTTCCTCGCTGGCATGGCCTTCAATTCAGCCAGCCTGGGCTACGTTCATGCAATGGCTCACCAGCTGGGAGGCATGTACAACCTACCGCACGGTGTTTGCAACGCCATCTTGTTGGGTCCTGTGCAGCAGTACAACGCGAAGTATGTGCCGCATCTCTTCATCGACATCGCCATCGCCTTGGGCTTCACGGATGTCGGGGAAGACCAGGATCTTGCTGTCAAGAAAGTGCTGAAGGCCATCAGGTACTTGAAGAACAGGGTTGGCATCCCCAAGAATCTGAAGGCATTCAAGGAGGTGAAGGTGGAACATTTTCCCGTCTTAGCCGACAACGCAATGAAGGATGCTTGCGGTTTGACAAATCCGCACCAGCCCACCAAAGAGGAGGTCATTGCATTGTTCCAAGCTGCCTATGACCAGGAAGATGAAGAAACCCACGAGCTTGCCGTTATCCAGGAAGACAAAGAAGCCGATGAGTTTGCAAAGCTTAAGAAGCAGCTCTCACACGAATCCTTTCGCAGCAAGGACAAGGAGTCTTTGCCGTCGCTGCTGCAAGCTAGACGCTGCGCTGTGTAGCGCGAGCTTTTGTGCTGGCTGATTTGCATGTGGCTGATTTGCATGTTTGACGTGTTTGCTACGGGGAAGCGGGGGAAGCGCATCCTTGAAAAGGTTACGCACGCGCCCTTGAAGCACATGTTTGGCCTGTTGGCAGGTTTGCAGTGTACAGCTCCCAGTGTACATCTGACAAAGCAGATGACGGCTGGGCGTAAGCAGTGCGCACCAGCATAATCAGCATAATATAGGGGCCTTAATAGTTGGCAATGGTATCAGTATCTGCATTCCCTATATTATAGTCCCTTCCCCTTTTTTTGGCACAAAATGCTTTAACATCCTCTCTTGGCAAAATTAAGGCCCCTGTACAATATTCCATGCCTCTTGGCGGGACGGTTGCCAAACTGACGACTAATCGCTCAAGCTGAGGTGCTTGGTCCTGAGGTGCTTGGTCCGAAAAAGCCAGCGCATCAGCCTCTCATCCGATACGAGTCCTCTAAGCCCTAAACCCTGAGGTCTCTCAACCCTATAAACAAACCTTGAGGTCTCTCAACCCTAAACCCATCCCCCATAAAGCCCAGAACCCTTCAACCCATAAGCCCCATACACCCCATAAGACGCTCATGCACCCAAAGCCCTGAACCCTGTACCCTAAACCCTAAGCTCTAAAACCTAAACTCCTAAACCCTAAACCCTAAAGCCCTAAACCCTAAACTCCTAAAACCCTAAAACCCTAAAACCCTAATGCCTAAAACCCTACGCTCTAAACCGTACGCCTGCCACTCCAGGCTGGCGCTCTTCTCGGCGCTGTTCTTCCAGAGCCCGGGCCTGCGAAAGGCGGCGCGGCAGCGGGTGGAACTGGAAAGTACCGGTTTGGGCTTCGCGTTAGGGCTTTATGCGGTTTATAGGGCTTCTAGGGTTCATAGGGTTTATAGGGTCTAAGGTTTAGGGGAATCAAATGAAAGCATCCGAGGTCAAGCAGGTTTGTGGCCGAAAACCCTCAAAATCCGACACCCACCAAGCCTCCAGGGTTTGGCCTTGGCCTCTTCGAATGGCGTGTTCCAGGGCTTTTGCATGTTTCAGGCCAACGCATCGGAAGGTCTGAGGTGAAAGCACTGCTTGCAGGTTCGAGACTCTCTGCATGAAGGTTCTCAGTAGGGTTGCAAATGACAGCAGCGGGCTTATCCGCTCTTCGAGCGCCTTCTCTGCAAAAAAAAAGAAGCGAGTGTTGGTTTTGGCAAGTAGATCGCAGGCGCCCTGCGATTTATTAGAGGCTTGGAAGACGCGATGCGTGCTAGAGTCGAGTCTTCAAAGAGGCGCTGTTCGGATGGGCTCCTTGCCAGGCTCTCTGGGACCTCTTAAGCGAGGTGCGGCCTGCAGACAGACAGTTGAACTTGAAGGTTTCGGGTCTGCGGCTTGGGCTTGGGGATGCATTTTACATCATGCACCCTAAACCCCTAAACCCCTAAACCCTAAACCCTAACCCTAAACCCTAAACCCTAATGCGGTAGGGTTTGAGGTTTCGGGTGCCATGGGTCTCCGGGTTTCGGGGGGTTCCAGTCAGCCAGGGTTTGCTCCGGCCCATCTTGTCGCTGGTCGACCTTGCTTTCGCTCATGCGTAGTCTTGTGCTTTAAAAACCTAAAACCCCCTAAACCCTAAACCCTAAACCCAAAGCCCAAACCCTAAACCCTAAACCCTTAGCTTTCAGAGCCCGAACAGGCGCTGGGCGGAGATGACGAAGACGAGGACAAGGAAGGGCCTGGGCCTCAGCTGGCACCCGGTTTAGGGTTTTTTTGGACCTGAGAGCCGGATGTCTCTTGACGTGCAGCTGTGTTCCGACATGGGAAGACCGGCAGACAGGGACCGTCGTTATCGGTGACGCAATGAGTTCTCCTTCTGTCTTCTGTCTCCTCTCTCTCTCTGAGGAAGGAGGATGATGGCGACGCAGGCGACGAACGCGACCGGCACTCAGAAAAGTGGTGGCCACTGCACTGCAATTTGACGAAAATGCTGCTTGGGGTCCCTTTTTTTAACAAACCGACGAGTCATGTCCTGCAGCCCAAGATCCTGAAGACCCGGAAGCCTTCGCAGTAAAGCGCGAAAACCTAGAAGCCTTCATAATTCTGCTTCTTGCCCCTATATTGAAGCTATTGGACAGAAGGTCCGGCGCGACAAGCGCGGCGGGGGGAAGAAGAAACGCCGCTGAGCCGAGCTGCGCAGCGATGGCTTCCGCCCGGAGCCGCAGCTTCCGGGTCTCTATGGGCTCAGGGTTTATAGGGTTTAGGGTTTAGGGTTAAGGAAGGGTCTTAGGGTTAAGGGTGTACGGTGTAAACTTGGGGCAGTACGCTTTATAGGGTTCAGGCGTCAGGGCAGAAGGATGAGAATTGGAAAGGTGGAAGTAAGGACAGTTGCTAAGACGATGAAGATCATGATCAGTGGGGCTCGCATGGTTATTGTAGCACTCCTCGTACAGGTCTTGGCTGGCACTGTGGGATCATGCCATTCATTGCAGGAAGTTTCGGATAGTTGTTGCTCCTTTCCTGCCGACATTATAGCAAGTGCTACCGTTATTGTCATGACTCAGCATTGGTGTCATTCGTTTCTTATTGTCACCACTATTCACAATTTTCCAGAGGCTTCTTTCCGGCAGGATGTTGTTGCAGCAGAGGTGGGACATTCCACGTCTTTAAAGTCTATGTTTCCAAGCCTGGCAAGCGGAGGAAGGGTCATGCCGCTACTTTTCGTCATGCTGCTGTTGCTAAGGTTGTGCGACGCATCCAGGTTTTCGCCGAAGTTTGGAGTGATTCAGATTCGGAACGATGAAACGAGGGAAGGAGTAGACAATGATTAGCCCACAGCGCGGTCGCGTGTGTTTGTGCCACAGAACGTCTCACGCAGTATCGTTTTAATCGTGTTCAGGACGATTCCCCGCTAGGTGCTGCCGGGACCCTCTAGCCCAACACATCCCAAATCTTGGGGTCCCCCAAGCCTCAGAGTTGGAGCGGTCCCGGCAGACGTCGGACAGGCTCCTCCCTCACCAAGCTAATGCATCGCTTCCGATCTCGGAGCAAAAGAGTTCATGCCAGGTCCTCGAAGAGTTGAAAGAGCAGACATCCACGTGACCAGGTCGACGCCATCGAGAGACGATGATCTTCCAGCATCATGCGGGCTTGCCACGACTTTCTATCCTCCCGATGAGTCCGGGCTCGAAACGCTCAGCACCTCGACCCACGAAGTAAACACAACTTCGAGCCAGCAGCACACAGGCGATGTCATGAGAAGCTTTCTGCAGAGTGACCGAAGCAGCAGATCCAAGACCGATTGCATGACCTTTCGATGGGCGAGCGTCCTTTCAAGGCAGATGTGTTTTGTCTGCATGTTGCTTGGATCGATTCGAGACGTCAGACTCACGGCACAATTGCAGATGCCACCCGTCTGCCCTGGCCCAGGAGCCAAACTTCACCCATGATGTAACTCAGGCTCTCAGATCTCACGTCTGCCGCTGTTGCCCCCCTATGCTCAAGGCACCGGCCTAGGCTCCCAGGGTCTGAGCAGATCCGTCTTCCTGGAGCCAGGATGGTCCCTTCGCCGAGGCTTCTGGAAAGCTTGGCGGATCCGAAGCCATCTCTGAGACTTCGAGCTCTGGATCGCTTGAGGGACGAGGAGCTCTTCCAGGAGTTCCGGGAGAGGGTGATTTCTCTGATCGATGATCCCAGCTGCGAGGTGAGCTCCAAGGCCCTGGCTCTCCTGCAAGAGAAGATGACGAGCGCAGATCCCTTCAAGAGCGAGTCACTCAGGGTTCTCTTCAAAAGGAAGGTCTCCAGTGACGTTCTTGAAGAACATTTCCAGAAGATCGTGCCGTCACTTCTGGCTGACCCGCGCTTGCAGCTCTGGTCTGTTGAGCTTCTGAAATCCAGAACTTCCGCAAGCCAGCTCATGGCAAACCTTGATGTTATCCTGGCACACTGTGCAAGTCAAGACTGGCTGGTGAAAAGGCGGACCTTGGAGTTCATTCAGGAACAGCTTCCGAGCGAGTTGGACGCAGGTCATGTCCGCCATATGGTACCGCTCCTGGGGAACGGCGATTGGAGGGTCAGAAATTTGACCATTGACCTGTTGGAGCAGAGGTCGCCGAGCGCGCTGATCGCTGAGCATTGGGAGATTTTGTTTGCGCTTGTCGCGGATCCAAAGTGTGAGGTGCAAGAGCAAGCACTAAATCTCTTGGAGGAGAAGATGCCGAGTGAGCTAATCGCTGAGCAATTCACCGAATTCCACAGATACCTGCGAGACGCGGATCCAAGGATCAGGAAATCCAGCCGACAGTTCTTCCGGAAGAAGATCTCGGCCAGCATTCTAGCCCGGCACTTTTCGAAAATCGTGCCAGCGCTGCTCGCTGACTCGGAATTTCAGCCCTGGTCCTTTGGCTTCCTGTCGGGTCGGATCTCCTCGGAGCACCTCCCGGATCTCATCGACTGGATCGTCGCGCTCCTTGCCAGGCAAGAGCAGCCCTGGAATAGGCAGAAGGCGGCTCTGGAGTTCATGAAAGAGCAGCTGCCTAGTGGTGTGCTGAGCGCGCAGCATTTCAGGAAGATCGTAGCTCTCCTGGCGAATTCGGAGTGCAAGGTGAAGAAGTGGACTTTGGATCTACTGCAGGGGCGGATGCACAACAGGCTGCTAGTGATGCTTTTCACAGAGCATGGAGAGAAGATCTGGCCACTGTCGGAGCACGAGGACCCATCGGTGCAGGCTGCAGCTTCGAAACTCGTTTTAAACAGTGGCTTGCATCTTTCGAAAGGGCTGGTCGCCCAACACTCCCAGAAGTTTGCCGGGCTTCTGCACAAGAGGGGTGACCTGACTAGATTCGAGCAGATCTTTCCGGATCTTTTGAAGAAGAGGCAGCCACAGCATCCCTTGGGTGAGCTCTTGTTGAAGCTGCCGGTCTCTCGCATCCTCGCTGTTGTTCTGAAGAGCGAGGACGCTGCCGCCTGGAGAGACAAAGCTGGCAATACCTGGCTGCATGTGGCCGCCGAAGCTGGGCACCTGGAAGCCTGTGAGGCATTGGTGGATGTGTGTGGGGTTGCGTTGCGGGCACAGAACAAAGCTGGCGAGGAGCCGCTGGCTCTTGCAGCGAGTCGCGAAGTCGATCGGTTCCTCAGGAGCAGGATGGGCTTGCGTGAGACGCGGTTCGGCTACGGGAATGCATTCGACGAATCGCAGACAGACCAGAGGCAAGTACGCGAGGTGACTTGGTACACGGTGCCTCTTCGTGGCATGGCCGGTCACTGTGGAGGCCTGCACTCCTTCCTCGTCGTCACTGTGTCCTCGGACACATCCGGAGCAAAAACTTATGTGCTCGAGAAGGCCGGCTCGCAGGCTAATCAGGCCCAAGAGAGGAACGGGATCTTTGTTGGAAGCCAAGATCTGAGCAGCAACTTGAAGAGTGTGGAGGGTTTGAAGATGCACAAGACACAACTTTCCCTCAGTGACGGAAGCCTGCGGAGAGGGCTAAAGATGAAGAAGCTTTACGAGAAGGCTCACAGCACCGGCCCGTACCATCTTGCAACGTCGAACTGCCATCACGCTGCCCAAAGAGTCTACAACCACTGCTGTGCCAGAGGCGAAGATGGGGAGGAACGGCCCCCCAACGAGTGGTTGGCGAAGCTCGGGGCCGCATTTCAGCTGGCTGCCTTGTTTGACTCCAGCCGCTCAAGTTCAGATTCCTCGGGTTCTGATGTTGCTTCCTCGAAGTCAGAGCTGGCCTCCGGCAGCCAGCCTGTAGATTCTCCGAGCGGCTTCTCGGCACCCCTTGATCTCGCGTCCGACGCTTTCGCTGAGATGGCCGCGGCCCTGTGTCATGCGGTGTATGATGAGGACGCCGCGAGGGTGTTATCGCCAAAACAGGCAGCCGTCGCATCGATCCGCAACCAGTTGGGCAGACCCGTTCTCGTCTACGACCGCAGCAGCAAGACCAACCATAGAGTGGAGGCTGACGAGGTAGTGGACATTATTGTAGAATGTGACCCTGCGAAAAGTCTGGTGGATGTTTATGCTGTGGCATGGGTTCCGGGGCGCTATTCCCATCGACTTCTGGCCCAGAGCCAACCTGTGTGGAGCGGCCATGCCTACATGCTCATAGATTTTCGACATGATGTCGTGTTACAGGAGAAGGTGGCGGCAGTTGCACCGCGACAGCCGGTAGACGTTCTGTATGCAACAAAGAAGAGCCGCAGCGCGAGTCCAGTGCAGTGGCTCCTGGCAAGATCGCGGTCTGTGCTTTATGCGGCGTTCCGAGGTACGGATGATGTGCAAGATGCTGCGATTGACCTCTGCGCCGTGCCAGACTGTTCTAGATTCAGAGAGCATGGTATGGGTGTACACAGTGGGATCGCCCACGCTCTCGAGCAGGAGGGAGATGAAATCAATCATGTCGTGCGTGATGTTGTGAAAGCTTTGGAAGAGCATCGTCGACCCGAAGAGCGGTTGGTCCTGTGTGGACACTCGCTCGGTGGAGGCTATGCCCAAGTGATGGCCGTCCACTTGTTGACGCGGAAGGTTGAAGTTTCGGCTATCCGCACCTTCGGTGCTCCGCATGTCCTCATACCGCAGCACGAATGCCCGAGGTTTTGGCGGACTCTGCACTCGATCACGCAGCATTGGGTGCACGACTGGGACCCCGTTCCCAGGCTGCCCCTCTGCAAGACCTGGCTGGTCGATGTCCTGCCAAAGCTCAAGCAGGAAGTTGTCAAAGGAGTCAGAGTTGGAGTTGCCGAAAGTTGCGTCGAGCGACTTCGGCAAAATTACGACAGAACAAAGGCACGTATGCTGGAGAAGTACGATGTCGTTGGCAAGGTCGTCTTGGTGAGTCTGGCCTCTGACTTGGCGTTTGGCGCAAGCCAGGATGTGGCATCACTAAGACGACTGCTTGGTGAAAAGCCTCCCGGGTCGATCATGACATTCGGCAGGCTGTTTGCTTATCACAGCATGGAGGACTACTTGCAGATTGCTCGGAATCTGAGTTCTGCATAAGCACCAGCGCAAAGGCGCTTCATCACGCTGGCGCGGGTCCTCCGTCGTAAAAAGCGCTCCTGACAACAACAAGATAGAACTACAGCCCGAAGGGATGCTGACAGAATGCTGGGGACTGAGACGCAGTTTAAGTCAGTGTGGTGCTAATATGAGAATTTGTAAGCTGAAGGGCGGTGAGCCCTGAAGTCTTGGTATCTCGAGAAAGCCAGTGCTTTAATTGACTTCCCCCAAACTGTCAACCCGGAGTCTGGGCTCTGCTGTAGTTGTCGAGGTCAACATTCTCCCCTATTCTGGGCTACATCCTGCGCCCTTGCAGGAGGCATGCTTCCCCAAGCTCCGGCATGAGACCTGCAATGCTCCAACTGCCCTCCGGCAGGCGCTAACCTCGTCGGCTCGGCTCTCGAGCCAATTGGCTGAGGCCCGTCTTGCGGAACGTACGGAGTTGATACCTTGACTCGGAGCACTCAGAAGAGCTCTACGTATATGTCGTTGCTGCAGGTGTTTCCGTGATATGGCAGTGACAGTTCTGGCTCTGATTTTCACCTCCAGCCGTTTGCCCAGTAGCTCACGGTTCAAGGTCAGGCGAATTGTGGCGGAGTTGAAACTCCCAGGCTTGACTCCTTCCTTCGTTGCACAGCATGGTGCCTTGAGACTTCTGCCTGCGTGCCGCCCACGTTCGCGGGATGCGGGCCATAGACCAGGTGCAGCCATGTGGTTGGGAAGTTGCACACCGTGGCTGTTGAAAAGATACCGGTAAACGTCCGAGGTCCACGAGAAGACTTTTCCGTCCGGGGCCGATCGTCTGTATTGGGATGCCTTTGGCGATGCCGCGAAATAGTTATACCAGCAGCAGCAGTCGCAGCAACAGTAGTGTGGCTTGAAGGAGTGCTTGAACTTTCTGCTGCTGCGGGTGCTTCGGGTGCTGTGGCTGCAGCTCTGTCGGCTGCCGGAGGAGTTACAGTTCAGAGCTTTGTCACAACTCATGTTTGACGATGCGGAGCTCAACCAGCGAGCCCTTGACGAGAGCTTCGCCACGCGTTCACATCATTTGAGCCCGATTCTGCTGCGGCTTTGCTGGGTTCGCAAGAGTGGCAGGTTCCGCACATTTCTCGCGCTCTTCCGAGATCCGGACTATGGGAGACTTGCCCGGCCCTTCGAGCAGAAAGTCTCGACCGAGCTCCTCGATGAGTTCTTCGAGGAAGTGGTGCCGCCGCTCTTGGCCGACTCCGAGTTGCGGCCACGGTTCCTGCAGGTGCCCTTTATGAGCCCTTTATGGGAAGGTCTCGGCAGGGAGGCTTCCTGAGCTCATGAGCCTGACGTTGGATCGATTGATTAAACGGAGCAGACGAGAGGACAAGGATCCGGCCTTCGGCTTTGCGGCACCTGCCAGGCGCACGGAGCGTGGAGCAGGCACAGAGGGTCATGACTGTTGTCGCGCATTCCGACACGGTCGTGAAGGAGTGGGTGTTGCTTCTTCTGCGCGAGCGAATGCCTGATGATTTGCTATTGCAGCATTGGGGCGAGATCTTGCCGCTATCAGGTGATGAAGCTTCCTCGGAGTGCAGAGTGCAACAGGGATTATCCTGGCAGATGCAGCTTTGCTGCTCTCAGACCATCCGGCTGCGAAGCTCTCAGAGCATTTAGTCGTACTGCTCCTCGATGCACTGCGCCACGTCCCAACACAGCTGGGTTGTTTGACATTAATCGCAAGCATGTCTTGCAGGCAGTTGGGTATCGACATACAGGTGACCTCGTCAAGCCTATCTTATGGGCCTGTGCCGACTGGATTCACAGAGCCAATCGATCCCTCCTCCGACCCTCATGTAGAGGTTGCCGCTTGCTTGAGCGATGCTGTGTATGCAAAGGATGCTGCAGGCATTCTGAAGTCGCAAGATGCCACTGGTGGTGCCGTCATCGTCGGGGTGATGCACACCATGAGCAATGAAAACAGCCACAGCCCGGTAGAGTGGCTGCTCGCTAGGTCTGGCGGCACGATGTACCTTCTCCGTGGTATGGATGATATGCAGGATGCTGTGATTGACCTCAGTGCCGTACCAGACTACACCAGGTTTCAAGAGCACGGCATCGGAGTGCACGGAGGCATTGCCCACGCTCTCGAGCAGAAGGGAGACAACGTTTGCCATGTTGTGAACGATGTTCTCGAGGGAGTATCTGGAGATAGGCCTGACCCCGATGGCCGACGGAGGTTGGGGTGCCCTCCGTTTCAGAATTGCCCAGCATGCAAGTGAGAAAAGGCAGCCTTGAACGTAGATTTACGGTGATCTGAGCTGAAGACTGTCTGACGTTCTGGGTGTTTGCTCGCCAGGCTTTCCCTCCGTAGGCGTTCTCTTCCGGCTGCTGCAGCACATCCTTCTGCGCCCCCCGGCACCATGTTAGTTTGCAGTTGAATGATGTTCGGGCTGTTCAGGTTGTGTTAAGTTCGCTTCTGCTTAGGGTTGGGACATTTCCGGACAGGCGGCCTTGCCGGTGCTTTCATCTAATGCTCATGCGAGCCCATGCCGGATTTGGGGTCTCTGTTGCAGACCCCTCCACACGACAAACTTCACAAAGCCCGGACGAGCGCGTTGCTCCGTGCGTCTCTCTGAACCAAGCATCACTCCTTCGACCCCGAGCTCTTGCACGAACTAGATGAGTGTGGGCAATATGGAGTTCGCGTCCTATGATGGGGAGGTACTCGTATCCATGGGTAGCCTCCCTTCAGATATGGCAAATCCTCACCCCATTTCAGCCCTCAATGCCAGCATCCTCCGGCATGGGTGGACTGTCTCATTGCCGGAATGAGGCTTGCTAGCATGGAGCGGAATTCGCACCGAGATGTGGAAACTGTTGCATGAGTGAGGTGCCACGCTGCCATCATGTTGGCACTCTGGAAAAGGCCTGGAGGGTTTTCAGGGCAAGAGAAGAGAGTGCTTGGGTGCATGAATTGGCGGCATCTCTAAGTTTGGAGTCCCCGATATTCTCATAGACTGCAGGCTGAGTTCACCAAATGCCAGCTGCGAGGCGTGAACATTCAGGATCGTTTAATCTTGACCTGTCCTCACACTCTCTTCCCGAGATCAGTGTCAACACGTGCAAGTCCGCAGGGGCTCACAGCTGCATGTGGCAACTGCCTTGTGAGCCAGATGTCGGAGCAGCAAAGCGACTTCAAACGCGTGATAGGCGTGATTTTCCTTCTGATCCTTATCCTATATCATCAGGGACCTGATTCAGCTTGGGGGTTGTGCTGTCGCGTGCCTGATCGTTTTGGCAGCAGCCCTGCCAGCCCGCGCTGTGCTCGTTAACAACATTGCATCGATCGTACAAGTCAGGCGCGACTGCAAGCAGAAATGGTTGACCTTGCTCACCTTGCTCTTGCTGAAGACAGTGCTTCTCTTGTTGAAGACGATGCTGCCCAACGAGTTAGAGGCAGGACATGTGAACAGCATCACGAAACTCTTGGCCGACGGCGATGACAAGGTGAGAAAGTGGACGGAGGATCTCTTGAATCACCGAATGCCCGGTAGATTGCTCGGTGAGCACTTCCGCGAATTCCTTGTGCATTTGCGGAGTACGAATTCTGGCACCGCGGATGCCAGCCGCCGTCTCTTCGAGCAGAAGATCTCGGCGGAGATTCTCGCTCAGCACTTCGAGAAGATCGTTCCGCCACTCTTGGCTGATCCGAACCTGCAGTTGTGGGCTTTGGATCTGATCATCGCACACTTAGCTGCTGATGCATACCTGAGACTCAAGGAGCGGAGTTTGGATTTATTGAAGGAACAGCTGCCCAGTGTGATAGGGGAAGATCATGTGGACAGCATCATGCTACTTTTGGCCAGCAAGGACTCGAAGGTGAGGGACTGGGCGGTGCATCTCTTGAATGAGCGAATGCCCGATGCACTGTTCATTGCGCAGTTCAACGAGCTCCTTGTGCATCTGGACAAAGGTGCCATCCGACGTCTCTTCGAGAGAAAGATCTCCAGCGAAGTTCTTGTTGAGCACTTCGATCAGATCGTGCCCACACTTTTGGCTGATCCGAACCAGGAGTCGTGGGCTGTTGATCTGATCACAGCCAAAATGCCC